GGGAATTTTTTTTCCGGGGGCCTCGGTTCCTGGGGGGGTTAACCGGTGGGAGGGTGTTTTGGGCGCCCGGTCCCCCCCCCCCCCCCCCCCTCGACACTTCAGCTATACCGTGTGTCGACTGCTGCTGCCGTTTTGACTCTTTCGAAAATGCGTAATCATAAATGAGCATCATCTTGCGGCCATCTGCTCGTCGGTGTCCAGGGGTGTCTCCTCTCATCTCACCCCTGGGTGGCCTGTAAAATATATTTATGCTCGTGCCCGGTCCTCTACATAGTGCAACTACGAAAGAAATGACGTGTCTGCTTGTGCTTGTTGTGCTTTTGGTACTCCCGCCGCTTACATGCTTCTCTGGGTGTTTTCTCCGGAGACTTAACACTAAAGACACAGCCGCGTCGTGTTGGAATTGAAACGTTGTGTCTGAACATCATTGCTGCCTCTGATCCGGGACGTACGAAGAGACATGACGTGTTCTGAATCGTTGCCTTTATTGGTCGATACGTCGAAGCAAAGGAAGAGAGAAAGGATGTGTCTGAATCCTTGCTGCCTCTGCTGATAAGACACCTCTGGTACTCGACTTTCGAGAGGGAAACGTCTGAATCATGGCCACCTCTGGTACAACACGCGACTTTCGAAAAATGAAACGACGTGTCTGAATCATTGCCTCTTTTGATCGATACGCCGAAGTCAAACGAAAGAGAGAAAGAGCGTGTCTGAATCTTGGCCGCCTGTGCTGATAGACACCTCTGGTATGCATACAACGAAACGGATTGTCTGAATCCTTGCCACCTCTGGTGCAACACCCGACTCGCCGAACTGAATCAATCAAGGCCGCGAAGGCCGCGGTGGTGGAGAAGGACGTCGCGATCGCCAAGAGCCTGCAGCTGGCGAGGAAGGAGAAAGACGCCTTCGACGTGGACCTTAAGGCCGCGAAGGCCGAGGCTGGCCGTTTCAGGGACATGGTGGAGACCAGGGCCGACATGGACGACGACTACAGGGTGAGGTCCTGCCTCTGTTGTTGATTGTGGTTGTAGTGGTGCTATTGTCGTTGTTGTCTTTACAGTAAGCGTCGTTCCTGTCTCTACCTTCTAGTATGTATATCCTTACTAGGCTTTTTGGCGGCTTGCGCCGCCACGCTGAGAGAACGTTCCGCAAGACGCTTGTTATCGGCGTTCGTTGTGGTTGGATGGTCGTCTCCTGTTTGTGTACTTTATCATTGCGCTTACGTACGTACGGTAGTCTGTTGCGACACCGAAGGCGTGCGAAGGGATGCGTATCCTTACTTGTCCAACTGACTCGGGTGGCTGCTAGGACATAATTTCTCGAGAACAGCATTAGTGTGGATAAATAAATGACTTTAGGGAGGACTTCCCGGATGTGGGACAACTTCACAGGTAGTCTTTGGTGCGAGAAGAAACGTAGTGGTGTAAAGATATACTTGTTTCATATTTTTTTTCGGAAGCTGTTTTTCACGTACAGTACAGTACAAGCTCGGAATTTGTCAGGTGCAGTCATGCAGAAGCTTTTTCGTTTGTACCAACAACAACATAAACGACATGACCACTATCATACTTGTAGCACCACGAAAGAACAGCGCTTAAGAATAACTGTCTGCACCGCTCGCGCGTAACAGGCCATAGCAGCAGCAACAACACGCTAAACACCAAAGCCATCAACAATCATGACCGGTCTGCACCCCTCTTAACGGGCCTTAGCCGACGGCAAGACAAAAAAAGAACTACGCTAAAAACAGCAACAACAGTTGCTACCAGTCTGCACTGGTCTTACCTCCCCCCCTGGCCTTAGCCGACAAGAACAGCACGAAAAACAACGCTTATGTAACAGCAACGGTGATCTCCACCGATCTGGACCAGCCCCTCTTGCCCCCAACACCAAAAAACACAAGCTAATAGCAGAGTAACGACAACCTCTACCGATCTGCACCAGCCCCTCTTGCCCCCAACGCGAAAAACACACGCTATTAAACAGCAACAACAACAATTTCTACCGATCTTGCCCCCCCCCCTCTTGCCCCCAACACCAAAAACACACGCTAATAAACAGCAACAACGACAATTAATTTTCTACCGATCTTGGCCCCCCCCCCCCAACC